CTGCAAGAGAGATTAAAGACTGGAGAATAAGTTTTCCCGTAGAAGATTAAGTAGACGATTTTGAAATTGTTGCAGGAATGTTGGTTGTGCTTAGGTACAAAACATGTGCCTGCTGGTATATTTTTCCCACAAAATTTATTGCGGACTCTAATGTGAGCCCGAGTCATAAAGAATAAAGTAACAACAAAACTACAAAGATAAAACACCTAAACTTAAATGGAAAAGCCTAAAACAAGATAGAATCTGGAGGTCATTAAACGAACCGTATTTTCCTTGCCTGTAGGAGAAAATACAAATAATTAAAAACCCAAACAAGGACAATCTGTTTAACCGGAGATATGAAACGGCAATAAATTGTAAACATACAAAAGAATTAACCCTACAATCTTGCTAAAAATTTCTAATCTACGAATAAATCCTCTTAGGTTTTATACATAACAGCGTAACCACGCTCAATATATCCTAGTTGTACTTGTAATACATAATTCACGTTAATTTGACTGAAATTTAACCCTAAATCTAAAATATTCTAATTTATTCTTACTTCTGTAAATTAACTGGAATATAATAATCTTAATTTCATTGAGGTTATTTTTATTGTTTATCCATTATTTGGATTAAACGGGATTAACTTAATCCCTTAAATAATACTTTATAATTAATATTAATAAATTAATTTAATTATATGGGGATTTTTTTAAAAATTTAAAATTTAAAATGTTCATTCACATTCGTAAAAAACAATACACATAAAATTAGCAGTATATATATTGGAGCGGGTAGAATGGAGATCAACGTGTTTTAGTGGACTCAGCAATTTTCAGTCTGCTTGTCTGAATCGTCTTCAAGAAGCGAGAGCAAGATCTAAAAAGTCAGCCAATCTAACAGTGACCTCATCTCACAATCCTCACACTTACTCCATATGTGGCCTCCTTTGTAAATCACTAGCGGGTTTTAAATGTCACTTAATATTATCGCACAAACTTTCATAACTGAATCAATAAGCTGTCAGATCCTCATACGTCGAAACCGACGGGGAAAGTCCATCATCATTATTATTATTATTATTATATATATATATATATATATATATATAAACAAACAGTGTATTAACAAGAGGAATACATAGACAATAGCAGAATAATGTGTTTGTGTCTGTGAAGTTTGTGTTGTAGGGTGTTTCCTAGAGAAAAGTAATAGAAATTGAAGAGAATTTACGTGCGTGTTTGCGTTTCCCCGTGGGGGACGCTTTTCTTCACTTACGACCTACATTTTACCTACAGTGGAAAAAAATAGAAAAGATGACAGAGAATGACAATGTGTATTTATGTGAAATGCACGGACGTAGTTGTAGACATCTGTGGCAAATATATATATATATATATATATATATATATATATATATATATATATATATATATATATACTAGCAGTAGAGCCCGGCGTTGCCTGGGGATGTAACAGTAAGAGATAGATCAAGTATCGACCATCATAAAGACTGAAAAATAAAATTGACAAAGATTATTGTTTAAGGTTGACGAACACATTAGTTTATTTTTTTTGTTTTTTGTTTTTTTAGTTTTTTTTTTTTTTTTGTATTTTTTTATGAATTGATAAAACCCAAACTCAAACAAAAACATTGTTTTCAATCGTTATGAGTCTATCGATTGAATAGAATTTTATTATAAACAATTGTCTTGTAAATGGAATTTTTAAAGCATTCTGAATGTAAAAATAAAGAAAAATATGTGCAAGACAATAAGAAACACTACCTGCCAAAAAAGAAAGTGAAGTTTTGTTGAAATCGGTTGAAAAATGTAGGAAATCCGATCCCATATATAAACGAACACACACTCACACACAAACCTTGGTTTTATGATAAGTATAACTCGATATGAGTTGTCCCCCTTTCATTCTCGCGATGCCTCTTAATCATGTTTTCAAATTGATTTCATGCAAAAACAATTGTGTTTTTCCAATTTTTGGCGCTGTCAAAACCACCGCAAGGTAATTTTACGTAGTCCTGTAAAGTTTTGTTGAAATCGGTTGAAAAATGTAGGAAATCCGATCCAATATATAAACGTACAGACACTCACACACAACCTGGGTTTTATAATATGTATGATATATATACGTTCACTGTCCTATAAATATAAATGAAGATGAAACAGTTTATTATATTAGCATCCGAAGAAGGGAGAAAAAAGTTAGACATTAATTAAATGTCTCAAAATGTATGACTACTTACTATAATAACTGTTACAATTAGTGCGAGATGGGTTTGAAAATTTAAAAATCATCATGGAACCTTTTAAACTTAATGTATTATTTAGAAAAAATGGATTTCTTTTTAATCCGACATATTTATTACTCTAAACGTTATTATAAACGACAATCGTATTTGAAATATACCCCCCCCCCATTTTTATTTTTAAACATTGTGTATTATGTCGATCATCCAGCGGATTTGAGAAACCTTAATAAAGAAATGCCCCCTTAATAAAGAAAATGTCTCCTTAAAGAAATGTGCTTTTAATAAAGAAATTCCCCTTAATAAAGAAAATGTCACCTTAATAAAGGAATCTCCCCTTAATAAAGAAGATGTCCCCTTAATAAAGTAATGTCCACTTCATAAAGAAATGTCCCATTAATAAAGAAAATGACCCCTTAATAAAGAAATGTCGCCTACAAAAGAGGGACGCAGGTCCGATCACATTTTCTTTATTAAGATTTTTCGAATGTGCTGTTCGATAGACGTTATACATGCCGTTTCGAATAAAAATGGATTATATGACGTCTATTTTAAATACGAATGCCAAACTATAATAACGTAGGATGTATTAATGATGAACTATATTTTAAATTAAACAATTCTAGCGAGTAAAACCAACTTATTTCGGAAACCGCAACAGTATCACCTTGTTTAGATTTATTGCAGGTCCGCCTCCCCGGGGAATTTAAATATCTTGGCGCAATTAGCAGCAAAGCGGGTTCTAGAATAGAAATATTTTAAGAGTTGCACAATGGTAGCTGTCTCTAAGCAAATCACTATCAAGAACAGCGTTTTGCAAACTTTTTAATCGTGTGGAACCCTCGAAACAGATTCCCTGTCTCAGGAAACCCCTTCTGAAGAATTATTATATACCATTATTATCTATCTGTTTTATGTGTTTATCGTAGTAAGCATAAAGGCACAAGTTCACGTGGTAAGCATGAAGGCAAACGTTCACGTGGTAAGCATGAAGGCACACGTTCACGTGGTAAGCATAAAGGCACACGTTCACGTGGTAAGCATGAGGGCAAACGTTCACGTGGTAAGCATAAAGGCAAACGTTCACGTGGTAAGCATGAGGGCAAACGTTCACGTGGTAAACATGAAGGCAAACGTTCACGTGGTAAGCATGAAGGCAAACGTCCACGTGGTAAGCATAACGGCAAACGTTCACGTGGTAAGCATAAAGGCAAACTTTCACGTGGTAAGCATGAGGGCAAACGTTCACGTGGTAAGCATAAAGGCAAACGTTCACGTGGTAAGCATGAAGGCAAACGTTCACGTGGTAAGCATGAAGGCAAACTTTCACGTGGTAAGCATGAAGGCAAACGTTCACGTGGTAAGCATGAAGGCAAACGTTCACGTGGTAAGCATGAAGAGCCACGGCACATAAAAGAAACCGTAGCATAAGGATGAAAGGACAAGGACAAAGGGGTGGTGGTTAAAAAATGAAAAGTTATTTAGAGCAAGAAAAGAGAGGCATTTGGGGAGAGTCATAATCACCTAGTTCCTAAAGGGACATGTCATAAAAGAAGATGGTCATATAAAAATGGTTTAATGAACAAAGAAAAATGTTTAGGAATCAATCTGAGATTATTGATTTCAACGATATCTCTTCTTCATCAGAACGTAAAAATAGCTAAATTATACAATCCAATGAATCCTGAGATCCCAAATCAAACCCGAAAAAGAGCATGGTTTTAGAAAATTCTGATATGGCAAAATTCTAATTTGAGGGAAATCCTGGAATTCCAAATGTAATTATGATGTAAGATTCTCTGTGAAATTCTTACATAAGTATTGCCAAATTCTTCAACCTAAAAGGAATGCACGATTCAGCGCATTTCTCTTTGGAAGGAAATGGTGAAAAATCTATAAGGCCTTAAATCCAGAAATCCTTAACGAAATTATGAGACAGCGGACTTCTCCTCGGATTAGCAAGAAAATGAAAGAAAAACTGTAAAAGTGCATTCTGTCAGAAACCTAATCCTTATTGCACCGAGAATGTTTTGGAATGTGTAGACGCGTTGTTTGTGTATCAGGCCCAGCGATATTAAGGATCTCAAGCATAAATATTTGTTCTACTTGTTAATGCTTCAATGGCGACTGTGTCAGCGATGTGTGTTTTTATCAGTGTACAGAATGTATGCATTTTCTGTATTGCCTTGAGAAGACGTTGGCGAAACGTTCATTGGACAGAAGGGGCACTTAAAGGAGGAGTAGGAGGAGGAGGAGTCGTTTAAAGTGTAACGCATCTGATTTAATATAAACACAGTAGTATATGTATATCATATAGGAAGAATATAAGGACATATGAATGTGATGTCCCCAACATCAATTTTCTTTGCAAATACCTGATTATATAATGTCAGAAGTTCAGAATATACATATATATATATATATATATATATATATATATATATATATATGTATGTGTGTGTGTGTGTGTGTGTGTGTGTGTGTGTGTGTGTGTGTGTGTGTGTGTGTAAAAATATATAGAAAATAGGAAAGAACTCGTTAGGTAAATAATACAAATTCTTTAGTATTTTTGTTATTATCTTTAAAAAAAATAGTGCTCGATCAAAAAGTAGAGCATAAATATAATTATTTATTTAAAAATATGATTCCAACGCTACATAAGAGTTCTCATGTTTCAAAACAAGAGCCGAAGACTTCAATATAATTATTTGAATTAAATTGAATTAAAGTACTAAGCTCTGTTCCATCTTCAAGCGAAATTTTTGGGGGGATTTGGAATAAACGGGTACATTGCAGGAAAAGTTATTAAAAAAAATCGCTTGAAGATGGAACAGAGCTTAGTTCTTGATAAAATAAAAAGAAGAATCTTCAATGTTATTGGTCTTGACCTGGCATTTCAGCTTCAGTCACTTTCCCACCACCTTAACATAGCTTCCCTTTATTTTTTTCTATAAATACTTTCAAGGTAATTGAACATATAGGACTAGTTAGGACTTCATAGAGACGCTATGGTATTATGGTGACTGTAGTAAGAATCGTAAGTAAGAATGTGTTGTTTTGGTGTTTTGATGTTGTATGTTTGGATCAGTGATTGTGGCTAGCCAAATTTAATTATAATACAGAAGAAACCATCGTTCCCCATCCCCTCTCTTGGCCTTGTTCCCCATTTCAGTATTTCACAAAATAAATATCCCTTTCTCGTATGAAGTTACTTTATGAGTAAACTCAGTACTAGATTGGTGGCAAGGTCTCATTATTTTACTGTTGAACTGGCTACCTGTAACCGTAATTAATTTTGATGCTAACAGCTTCTCTCCTGTCTTCTTGCTTTCCGGTCAAGTTTGACCTTCAAAAATCCAAATGCAATCTCAATCGCTATCTACTTTCCTCTACATTTTGTTCTTTTATTGTTCTTTCTCCTTAATGATATTTTTCTCTTTAATAATCAGTGACCGCTTTCATCTTAGTGGCTTTATTGCCTTGCTTGGGGTGAAATTATAAAAAAAATATATAGTTGTGTTGCACCAATCATCTTACTGGGAAGATTTCCAATTCTGCTTTTCGAACGAAAAAATTTAACAAACTCATCAAAATACAAATATATACGCATTTTTTTTTTTTCGCGGGTAATAATTTCTTAAATATCTTGATATGTCTTCTTAGTTGATTCTAGAAAAACAAAATGATGCCTGCGGGCAGATAATGGCATAGGAAGAAGCTGTTATTGGATGCTTAGAACATCAGTTCTTCGTACAGCGGTTAGTCCTGCAATATATGGGGCTTTGTTTTGACTGACACTTTTTTACTGTATGATCTAATCGACGAAATGTATATTTATTTGATGATACTGCTTTTTTTCTCTGTTTGATTTATAGCGATATGCAACTTTCTTTTTTGCATTTAATCTATGGCGTTGACAAATCGATCGCCGCTCTTGTAGATATTTACAGAATATAATGATAGGGATGTGGTCAAAACAGCGCGGACAAGAAACAGCCATCAAATTATCAGTGAAATGTGTTAATTGTTACTATATAGACGGTAGATTATATCGGTGTAGATAGATAGATAGATAGATAGATAGATAGATAGATATGATCTTTAAAAAAGGGGTCATATTTGAAAAAACGACACAAAATACAGCGATTAAAAATTCAGCTACATTTCGGCCGACACATCTTCAGAGTAAACACTATCGTCAGAAAGTAAAACTAAGTGGTTCAAAATAAAAATTATTTTCAGTAACTGGTGTAAAAATATACCAAGACTGGGGAAGGGGACAAAAAACTCCATTTTCCTAGTTAGGTACTGAATTGACGACCGACTCCCCCGAATATGGACATCATATGCTTTAATTACCTCTGGCTCTGAAATTACGTAATTTTAATGAAAAAATAAATTGAATAGCATATGTATTTTTTTTCCTTTCTTCCACAGTAATTTTATAATTTTAAACTTAATAGAGATTAAATTTAGATTTTAAAATTTTTTACTTCTAATTTTAATATCAAATTTTATCATGTAATTTAATACTTATTGGTTAAAATAAATTCTATTTTACTATAACCCCAATTTTAAAGCTCTTAATAGCTATTATAACCTTACTTCGTTGTCAATTTTTTGGAATTCTCCTATACTTGTGTTTTGATTGGTCATTCTAGCTTTTGTAACAGCGTTTTCCTCTTGCGAAGGATTGTTAATTAATTTGAAACTTTTAAAACCATTTATTCTACATTCAACATCATCACTTGATAAGACACCGGAGGTGTTGAAACAAAATGGCTATTTTTGTAGTGATTTTATAACATATTTATGTTATAATTTTTAAATAAATAATTATATATATATATATATATATATATATATATATATATATATATATATATAAAGAGAATTGAAGTCAACATTTAGAGGTGATAGACTGTTTCATGCTAGACACAATCGTCAGGCCTGACGTGACAAGATTATACGATTGCGTCTAGCATGAAACAGCCTGTCGCCTCTGAATGTTGACGTCATTTTTCACTTTATATTTATATTTACATACGCTCTATGTCTGATATTGAGCATTTTATCCCATAAATATACCACACCTTAAAAACTATATTACTTCATATTATATATATATATATATATATATATATATATATAAGAGAGAGAGAGAGAGAGAGAGAGAGAGAGAGAGAGAGAGAGACGGTGGAGTAATGGATAGTGGCTTGGATTGAGGAATCGCAGAGCCGAGTTCGAATTCTAGTCGAATCCATTACGTTCACTTAATAATACCCTTGGGAAAGGTATGAATCCTCTTCCTCTCCCTCCAGCTATGGGTAAAATAGCAGGACAGACTGGGTTCGATAGCCTTGGATGACAACTGGTCTAGGAGAAGGACAACTCTGAATTCAAAACCTGCGGAGGGTCGTTTGGGAACCTTGTGGCATTCGGTGCACCAGGTCTCTGTATTCGTCCCTTCAAAAAGTGTGGATGATCCTGCACAAAACCTTCACCACTATAATCAAATCTCATGTGCCGGTTTCGGGCTGTCGGTTTCCTGGAAATTGATCTGCTTGACCCTCATACGTCGAATCTCGTTGGGAGAGTCGATTATATATATATATATATATATATATATATATATATAGGTAAAAATCCGTGGGTAGTAATCCAAGTCGATTCTATTAATATAAGATATTAAAACTGAGCCAGAAATGAGACCTCAATATATTTATTACAGAGTAGATAAGTGAATTACAAAAAATTACGAAAATGAAATCCAAATTACTCGATTCTGATGGCCATTTCGCCCCGGAATATATATATATATATATATATATATATATATATATATATATATATATATATATATTTATAAATTAATTGATTTAAAATATGTTTTTTTCCGCTTTTTTTTCGGCGTAGAAAACCATATTTTAAATCAATTAATTTATAATATTATGCTCTGTAAATTTACATTGAGCACGATTTTGTAAAAATAAAAATATCTATAAGAACACCGGATTATATATCTTACTGTTCTTTTTTTTATATATATATATATATATATATATATATATATATATATATATATATATATATATATATAACGGTAATTAAAAACACCTTAAAAATCAATGTCGATTATAATTTATTTCATGAATAATGTTATATTCAGCTTTTCAAACCCAAAGTTTTTAACAAAAGGAGAAATAAATATAACCATATTCATGAAATAAATTATAACCGATATCGATTTTTGAGGTGTTTTCTTATTTCCTCATTATATATTTGCTCTGTCACTTACATTGAGCTCTCAATGGATTAATGGCCTCTTTGAAAGTATCCCTACCAACTATAAATTGGTAATATATATATATATATATATATATATATATATATATATATATATATATATATATATATATATATGCCTGTTGGTGCATTCCATTAGTACATAGAAGAACTGGATTTCGTGAAAAACAAAATCAAATAGCGATGGAAAAAGAACATCGACGCCAACTCTAACGAATTTTTTTTGTCGATCTATATTTATTTTTTTTATTTTATTCAAGTCCTCGTGTCAATCCATAACGAACGTATAAAAATCAAAACATACATACAATATAAATTTTTTATAAATATTGATGTTAGAGAGTGAGCAGGGATAGTGAGATACAGAGAGAGGGAGAGACAGTGAGAGATAAATAACAGCGCGTGCACTAATACAGGTTCCGGCAGAAATACCTCCTACGTATACCGCCTAGAAATACCACGCACACAATGTTAAGACGTTAGTTAGATAAAGACAACATTATGTCTTACAATTATGTGGGGGGTATATGTGGGAGGTATTTCTAGGAGTTATATGTGGGAGGTATTTCTGAGAGGTATATGTGAGAGGTATTTCTGGGAGGTATATGTGGGGGGTATTTCTGAGAGGTATATGTGAGAGGTATTTCTGGGAGGTATATGTGGGAGCTATTTCCGCAAGCTACACGATATTTTTTTTATGAGCAATTTAATATTTTGACCGAAATATTCGCAAAAATGAATACTTGCATTTCGAAAAAGTTTTTTTTTTTTTTCTTTTTTTAAAATTTCTGCTAGGGTTTAATAAATAGAAAAGAGAAACACTATTTCCATGAAATATAATATCTTCATTTTGATATAGCAACGTTTCGGCCATTTTGTACTTCGTTCTTCCATCGATCCACATAAACCTCAGACGACAGGCTAATTGGTGCCTTTCATCATCCCAACATCGAATTTGCGGAAAGATCTTTTAACTCATATGAGATATTTGTAATATCACAATGTCCTGTGTCGTGTGAGTGACCTGGATTATTTTTTTTTTTAATCAGCATTTTGATTTGGCCATCATTAAAGTCTGCAGGCCTGCCAGAATGATTTTGGCTTAACCTCTGAACATAGCAACAACTTAAGAATATTACTCTTAGCTCCGGTAGCATTTCTATAAACAGTGCATACTCTTTGTGCTGTTTGTACAGCGATTTTCATAAATGCATCTGATAATGAATAAGAAAGCATAAAGTACATACCATAATAAAATAGCATGAAATGCATTTCATAATAAAAGAGCCTACAAAGAATGTCATAATAAAAAAGCATAAAAGGCACCTAATAATTAATACATGTGCATAATATGCATTTCATAATAAATACATGTGTAAAAAGGCATTTCATAATAAATGAGCCAACAAAGAATGTCATAATAAAAAAGCATAAAAAGGCACCTAATAATTAATACATGTGCATAGTATGCATTTCATAATAAATACATGTGTATAAAATGCATTTCATAATAAAAGAGCCAACAAAGAATGTCATAATAAAAAAGCATAAAAGGCACCTAATAATTAATACATGTGCATAATATGCATTTCATAATAAATACATGTGTATAAAATGCATTTCATAATAAAAGAGCCTACAAAGAATGTCATAATAAAAAAGCATAAAAGGCGCCTAATAATAAATACATGTGCATAATATGCATTTCATAATAAATACATGTGTATAAAATGCATTTCATAATAAAAGAGCCTACAAAGAATGTCATAATAAAAAAGCATAAAAGGCGCCTAATAATAAATACATGTGCATAATATGCATTTCATAATAAATACGTGCATAAAATGCATCGCATAATAAAAGAGCAAAAAACCTCCAATTATAGCTGACCACTCGTATTCGAGGATACCCGTCTACTAGGGTGGCTAGCCAATCCCTATTGCAGACGCTTTCTCAGGCGCATTTGTGTTTAATTAACACCCACAGAGCCCACATGTGGTTTATACTGCAACTATGCTGAGTTGACCTTAGTTACAGTTTCTCGGAAAGAGCGTATTATCTTGCGTGATCAACAATTTGAACAGCACTCTCAAGCTCTCGGCCACGATGACTTGTGATTTCGTGCTAGCGCAGCTATCGACGGCAAAGGTTCTGTCTACCCAATTTCAATCACAAGGCTTGGGCCAACCCGTGGTATGGTTTTCAGGCCCTTTCCAAAAGTGTTGCACGCTGGGATCGACCCCTCCATTTCGATAACATCAGGAAGTAAACTTCCTGACAAATCGACTATGGTGAGATTCGAACCCGGGTCTCATGGTCAGAATGAAAGCGTTCTAACCACTCAGTCACGTGCCCCCAATAAAAGCATCTAATATTAAATAAAAGAGTATACATTTCATTTCATAATAAATAAAGGATCAATAATAAAAGTCTAATAATAAAAGAGCATAAAATACCCCTCGATATAAAATTGCAGAAAATGCATCTCATAATAAAAAGGTATAAAATGCATTATTTTCTCTTGTAACAAAAAAATTCAATCCACGCACGTGTCACATAGAAAGAGGTATTGAAATGGCCCCTTTTAAAATATATATCATACATTTTAGTCAGATATGAAACAAAATCACATATCCAAATGTTACGAGCTTGTATTCCAACCCAGTATATGGAGCCAATATATTTTATCACATTCTATACATTGCGTATGAACGCAAATTAATTTGTACTATACTAGTTATATTTTATGAGTGCACACGTATGCCTATAACTGCACACAAACGCAATCATAAACGTATTCTTCTCTGTGTATATGAAGCAATTTGTAACGTATTTTTACACATAGTATTTTCATCACAGGCATTCTATCCGATTCCAGTATATTGACACGATATTACCGAAAAAAATAAAGTGAATGAAGATCAAAAAAGTCAAGAATTAATGCTTTTACAATGTCAATGGCTACAACAGTTTTATAAGATATCACCAATTATCTACTGGTAACGCCTTGCATTTATGAATACTGTTGTTCGTATATGACGATATATAATAGTGTCTAGTAACGCAAATTCGTACGTGTGTCGCTGTCAAGAAGATATGTACATAAATATATACGTAAGAAAATGCATTTGCATTTCTATATTTGCTCTGCGCCTAATAAGTTATTCAAACCGCTATCCCTCCCCGACTCAACCCGAACCTTGCCACCCTCACTTCCTGCCCAGAGGACAGTCCAACCTCCCCACTATTAAAGCCATTGTTTTAATATCCAGTTTTGCTTTCACGCTTCTCGCCTCACTAATTCAATTTCTGGCGTCCACATTTATTTTTCCGCAACACTTAGCATTGCGAAGGAATGCTTCTGTGTGCAGCCATTTTGTCAAGACGTAGAAACAGCAGTGAATTTGGCACTGAAGGAGAAGAGCGAAGATGGCTTCTTTTTTTTTTTTTAATCCGGAAAGGCAATTTTTGAGAGTTTTTGTTGTTCTTGTCGTTGTTGTTAGAATTCGAATGTGCATGCGTGTTTGTGGTTGAAAATACACGACTACTTGATATGAGCACATTCTAATACATATATATATATATATATATATATATATATGTGTGTGTGTGTGTGTGTGTGTGTGTGTGTATACAATGCACATACACACTAGGCACACGCAACCCAACACAAATATACACACAGGTAACAAAAGGGCAGAGCACAATAGAAAATACGCCAAACAGAGTAGGAGGTTCTGTAAAGTTCTCAGCTTGACCATCTTCGTCAAATCTTCAGATATGATGGTTGGAATTCCTTTTTGGCCGGAACTTTCCAACACTCTTCATACACTCACAATACACAACACACGTGCAGGCAGATTTTCCGAAGAATCCTTTACGTGAGTTGAGAGAACCGCAAGACAAACAAAGAGGCCCTCTCGCGGACGTCTAACCCCAGCATCGAGGCTAACATCCTACAACTGGGCGTCTCACGGGTCCAGAAATGCGTTCCGCACGACTCCCAGTTATCATCCTGTTTGGGAGAACTTGCGGTAAAAGGCTCCACCGAGGCCCAAAACGATGCGTCAACGATCAGTTGAATACAACCCTGACACAGGCCAACATTAACCCGGTGACTTGGGAAACTATTGCTGCAAATTGGACTTCCTGGTAGAGAATCTTACGAGGTTTGTGAGGACTTTCGTGTCCAATCGTCAATATGAAGAGGATCTGCAACATGCTATCAGAAGGCCTGAATAGCCCAGGCGCGTCCACCACTCACACTTTTCTGTGACTTCTGCTCACAACCAAGCAAAGGGAAAAGAGAAAATAAGGAGATAGGATAATGATCCCGAGGTTCAGAAGTGAGTGGGTGGCGGTGATAGGCATACACAAAGACGTCCTGTCAAAATCGCATATTGAAGTCAAGAATGTGTTCAAACTCGTCTCATTTTATAGATATTCCTCTGGTTTGGTATGGCTTGTTTTACGGTATATCAACAACAATGTGTTATTTAATGCCGACAAGATTTGTATTGCTGGTAATATTTTTCCCCAAAATATATTGCTGGTAATGTTTGGTAATATTTTTTTCTTCGCAAATTTATTGCTGGTAATATGTTTTTTACAAAAAATGTAATGTTGGTATTAAAACCTATTTAACAGATTTTGAGTCCAGTATGGGGGTTAATTATTTACCCATAGCTTGGTCCCTAAAAGGTGCTACCACCCTGATTCAACGTCCTGATTAAGACGATAAACTATATCCGCGTCCTCGGTAAGATGATAGGCTACGTACAAGAGCAAAGCCTCTGACCAGGAGGTTTTGAGGAGCGTAGAACCACCTCTTAATTGCTGATGTTCTCAGGTCCATTTTCCACCATGTTACATTTTTCAATTACTCATGTTAAAAGTCATTGCTATACAAACAAGGAATGCCATATAACAGTAAAACTGTGAACTGAAATACGTTTGGTTTGGTTTGGTTTGGCTTGTTTTACGGCATATCAACCTCAATGGGTTATTTAATGCCTACAATTTTTATTGCTGGAAATATTTTGTTTTGTCAAAAATCTATTTCTGGTAATAATTTTTTCCTTCAAAAAGGTATTGCTGGTAATTTTTTTTTTTCAAAACGTATTGCTGGTAATATTTTTTTCCTCGCAAATGTGTAGCTGGTAATATTTTTTTCCAAAAATATATTGCTGGTAATATTTTTTTTTTAAATTTATTGCTGGTTTTTACAAATTAAAACCTATTTTTACTCTTTAATAGTGTTTTTACCCATTTCGGGGTTAACTATTTGCCCATAGCTGAGACCCCAACAGGTGCTACCACCCCGGGTCAGGGTGAACCTGGGAACACCAGCAATTAAGAGGTGGTTCCACACTCCTCAAAACCACCTGAACAGAGGCCTTGCTGCTGAACGTAGTTTATTGTCTTATCCAGGACGAGAACTGAAATACGTATGACAAAACTAGTATGATGATGTGGCATGGGATTGTATAGTAATTACGCCTGGGAATACCAAAAAGCCAATTTCATGGACATATATTTCTATTTTTGCCTTTAAAAAATTCGGCTGACTTTGGGAAAAAGGAATAGCCACGTAGATTTGGGCCAAATTTTTAAAATATTAATTTAAAATTTTAATCTTTTTGTATTCAATTTCTTAAATTCATAATCTAGCTGCATATCTAAAAAAGGGTGGGGATACAACATTTCCTGAATCTCCCAGCTAGATTGAAAAGGTTCGCTCTCAGGTCCTTGGCAAACTGGAAAAAAAAATACCGGAACACTACATCAAGAAGCACTGCCCTCCAAGACGAGATTGTGATACTGTCTTGGTTAAGGGAGATAACTCTGTATCTTTATGCGTATTATTATCAATAATTGTATATGTGTCTGTTCGCGCGCAAAAGGGTGTATGTGTGTGTTCAACTTTTCTCTATCATAGAAATATCTGAAAATTCAACAAGTTTTCAAGAAAGTTAGCAAAGTGCCAATCGGTAACGGGAAGAGTTCCTTTGTTGGCCACGTATGGTAGATGAATGCGCGTGTCTCCACAAGAAAGAGTTTTTAGGACAAATATAAGAAAAATACCGAACAAAATAGAAAGAATGCAAGAATTAGAACTAGTAAAAGAGAACGTGCCATTTTGCGATGACAAAGAAATCCCCCGGACAATTCTGAATTGAAGAAAGAACCAAGAAAACACCTACAATGGCTGTATCTATATGGGTTGGGTGGAATCGTTTGTGCTAACCATTTTTGAATAAAAGGCAAATACAGAATGATTCTGCAAGTCTTCATTCAAGAGAAATGCCAATGCGGGGGCAAAACAACAGGAATTAAGCTCATTCAAATGTGGTGGGCATATAGCCAGAATTTTTTTTTTTCACATGAATATGCCCCTCTCTCTCTTTTTTTTTTTTTTGTTCTCTCTATCTCTCATATCTTCTTCCTCTAATCTCACTCTTTTTCTCTGTCATTCGCCTTTTTCTTCTTTCGTTTTTTTTTTCCTCATATGAATTTTTCTGTCCCATATTTGTGTATATGTGAATAACAACAAAACGAAGAAAAGCGCAAAATTCTGAGAGATCGCATCTCCTCTAAATCCCGCGCAACATAAAGCTATTCAGGAGAAGCTGCGCGGCCATTTTAACTTATCTAGGCTCTTGCTTGTCACATCCTAACGGAATAATCACCGCGGAATAAAAACGAACTGTTATTCCAATCAAAAGTTAAACAAAATATGTGTAAAACTAAATGAACCATTTTCTTTCTCTCTCTCTCTCTCTCTCTCTCTCTCTCCCATATATATATATATATATATATATATATATATATATATATATTTTTATTTAAAAATATCAATACATAAGAGCTCAAAAAAAACAAGAGCCGAAAACTTCAATATAATTATTTGAATTAAATGGAATTACAGTACTAAAATAAAGTCGCTTCAAGATGGAACAGAGCTTGGTACTTTAATTCAATTTAATTGAAATAATTATATTGAAGTTTTCGGCTCTTATTTTGAAACATGAGAACTCTTATGTAGCGTTGGAATCATATTTTTAAATAAATAATTATATTTATGCTCTAGTTTTGTATCGAGCACTATTTTTTAAAAATAATAACAAAAATAATAAAGAACTTTGGATTATTTACCTAACGAGTACTTTCCTATTTTCTATATATTTTACACACACACACACACACACACACACACACATATATATATATATATATATATATATATATATATATATATATATAAACTGCTTCATCTTTATATATATTTATAAGCCAATGAGCGTTGTCTTAATGATATATATACACACACACAGAGACACACAGACAGGGCAAACATGTATACACACAGGTGGCCGAGTGGTTAGCATATTCGCATTCTGACCATGAGACTATGGTTGCTTTGTCAGGAAGGAAACTTGCAGATGTTATCGGACTGGACGGGTCGATTCCAGCGTGCGGAACCTTTGGAAAGTGCCTGAAAACCATACCACGTGAGTGAAATTGGGTAGACGGAACCCTTGAGTGCCACAGATAGCTGTGCTAGCACGAAGTCACAAGCCATTGTGGCCGAGGGTCTGAGCGTGCTGGGCTTTTTCAAATTGTTGGTCACGCTAGATAACACGCAGAAACTCAGCATAGTTGCAGTATAAGCCACAGGTGCGTTGTTTGGGTGTTGAATAAACACAAATGCGCCTGAGCAAGTGTCTGCAATAGGGATATTATCTTCAAATATGAGTAGCCAGCTGTACATATAGATATGTGTGTATGTGTAAAAAGTTCAGATAGATTATATCTCTAAAAGGACAACATGAATAATGACAAAAGGAAAACTTTTCTTAGTCGACGCGTTTCGTTCTCTGCGGGATTTTATCAAGGCAAATGTAAGGATTATATTTTTGTGAAAAGTATTTATATACAAGGCCCTCCGGATTCCAGTAAGTACGACTCGAGCAGCTTTTTCCCGCGAATCATTGCTCTGAGGAATCGACTCCCAAGAGAATGTTTTCCCGATCACTACAATCTTAATCCATTACATTCACTTACGTGTTAATAATCTTGGGAAAGGTATGAATCTTCTTGTCCCCCAGCTAGGGGTAAATAGCATAACAGATCGGGTTCTATAGCTTTAGACGGTAACTAGTCTACCGCAGAATGAAATGGCAACCTACTGCGGGAAAAAACTCTCGTCAGTCATGTATCGAAAGATACATGATCGCCTAAGCGTGTATTACGTATGACACATAACTGACTGACAATCTTAACCTGTTCAAGTCTAGAGTTAGCCGTTATAGTCACAACTAATAAACTGTGCTTCCTATTCTGTAACCCTCTACCTCTAGTGGCTCCCGAGCCTTATATAGCGTGAACCTCACTGCTGAAGTAGAATAAACCTTGTTATTAAATATGAAAAAGTTGTTGGTTTTTTTTTTCATTTCACTTTACGCAATGATTAATGGAGTTAATTTCTAAAAACAAGAAATTTCCGTAACTTACATTTTTGCACATGCAACACCTGAAATAATTTCTTCCTAATTTACTGCAGGTCGGATTTCTCTCTTTCTCGTCTCATTTCTCTCAAGCAAGTTATAGCAGTACATATTTCCCCCCCCCACAAAATTTGTAAAAGAAAAAAGAAAATGTTCAATTTTCTCATAATTACCAAGTCAGTATTTGATAAATTACATAGAAACTTCCGCCTAAATTTTTCATTTTTTTTTCTGCAAAAGCGCAACGATTACAAAGTGTAAGGAAAGACAGAAAAATAAACCTATATGAATCGCGTAACGAACCATAGGGTCGTTGGGGCAATAGATTTACAACAGCCACAATCGATGAGGTTAAAGCAAAATGTAGGCCATCCCTAGACAGGTTTTTAATTCAGACTTAACATTTTTATAAACTGGTTATCTTACCATGGCTAAA